TTCCAACCTTAATGATTCTGTGACATTCTGTCATACTTTAGCAATCTCCATGAACACAGGACATGTCTGTTGCACAATGTGCTACGTGTGCCATCTGGTGGAAAACTATAAGCTGAAGTAGAATTTGGCAGGACACAGTTTACAAGCCTAATCAAGAAAGGCACAAGACTGTACTAGAAAACAGTTGCTCCTTCCTAAACCAAGTAGCTAGCTTCAGTCTATTAGATAAACTAGAACAAAGTGTGTCTTTCAAACTGCATCAGCCAGCCCAGCCCTATGATACCTGAATATCAAACATGGTAAAATGCCTAGGAACGAGGTAACTGCAGAAACCGTAATGGCGTTTTAATTATTCTACTGAAAACTTTGGTAAATGGCATTTGTAATAAGTCACTGTTAGTAACATAGACTCTGTATGTACATCAGAATGCAAAGAAAAGCCATTTTTTAAAAATAGGTTTTTATTTTAAACTGGAATTAACTGGCAAAGGTTGTTCACTGTGTAGCTGCACAAATACTTGCACTGGCATTTCAGACAGAGCAGTACAGCTGTAGGAATCTCCACACCACATACTACCAGCTTAAAAAGAATTTCTGGCAGTTTGAGCTTAGAAAGCCAAATACTATGTCTCTTATTATTTGAGTATGAGATTTGTATCCTTATTCCTACAGAATTTCTGCAAAGTTGATCCCACTGTCCTATCAAACCACTACCTTGAAAGTTATGGTCTGGAAAGTAGTCGTGGTCTGGACTAAGTAACTTAGTCACAGTATTAAGTTATGTTCTGAATACTGAAATTTAACATTTGATTTCACAGTGCATTCAGAATGGAAAGTATGCAAGACCACCTTTGCTCGCCCATGACTTCAATACACAGATGAGAACTGGAAACGTATTCACAAGAACACTTAAACAATTAGCTAGGGCGCTCTGGAGGTTTGATCTGTTCCTCAATCACTTCATTAGGATTTACAAAAACTTCCATCTTGGTGTATCTTGATCAAAATAAACAGTTGGCTACAATGCAATGCAGACTTCTACTGTAGACTTCTATCGTACCACTAGTACAGCCCTCGGCTGAGTAAGATTCCATAATCGTTCTGCCTCCTTAAGAACTGGACCAACTACACAAAGGCAGATACAGCCCCAATTTAAAAAGATTCTAGCATTAATAAAATGTTAGCTGTGTTAAACTGTTGGACTTCACTATTTGAAATGCTGGGAGCTTCACTGTGACTAAAATCCAAGTGGAACCATCAGCTTCTAAGCTTTCTTTAGAAATACTTTATTCTGATGCAGTTAATTGACATGCACAACATGGCATGCCAGCTGCAATACTGCTGCCTTACTAACACAGTTATTCCAAAAATCCCAGAACCTTACCAGATTTCACAAAAACACATGTAAGAGTTCACATAGAAGACTTCTGACTTCTTTAAGACATTGAAATGGACTTGTACAACTGAACTTACACGAGACAGCTGAGGTCTGCCAAGTCATCAATGAAGTCAAACAATTGGCTGATATCATATGTAATGGATGGACTGTTGGGATTCATTCTCTTCAGATGCTCTTCATACATTTTACAGACTCCTACAGAGAAACAAGATTAACAATATTAAAAAACCCAAACCTGTATTTGCTGAAATTTCTTCAGATATTGAACCACCAATACGAGGCAAGCTTAGAGATGACTACCATGAAAAGAGAGACATAAACTTCTTAGTCAGATTTTGCAGAGTTGAAATGCTTTTGTTCTAGCTATTTGCATTGAAACGTAACACCATAAAATCAAGTAGGATGCACAGAAAGAAGCATTATCATCATCTAGAGGAAAAAGTTTTAGTTCTGTCAAAGATGGAACTTTCCATAGAGTAAGCTCCAACAGAAACCTGAAATTCCTTCTAATAATTTTAAGACAGCAATTGCAACATATATTCCTACTGTAAAAGCACCTGAGAAAGAGAAGAACCAATGTCAAATAAAGCTACTCAAATCTCCTAAGAGAGATCATTCTTGATGAAAGAGTCAAACAGGGCTACTGAGGTAAGAGTGACAGCACAAGCCTATACATGAATTTAAATCAGCTTTATTTAAGCTAGACTATAAATAATTCAGATACATTTGAGAAGAATATAAAAGTAAGCATGGAGGCTTTACATGGTCTTTATTATGCTTTTGTTTGCCTCACAAAACTTCCTGGAATTAGAATTGTTAATGTTAAGTGAACTTCTAAATCATACAGCTGTAGTATTTTAATCTTCTTTCCAAGCTCACTGTGCGTCTTGAAGTCACACAGGATTTTTTTCTCTGGCACACAAGCCATGAGGCTGCAAATTATATATCAATTGCACACCTACTTTTATTTTATAAATTATTTCCAGTAGCAACCTTTGTATTACATGGTTAGCACAAAAATTAGTGAGTTAGGCTCTGATCCTGCAATGAAATGCATTCAGGCAAGTCTGCTGCATGGCCCCAGCAAGAATACTGCCTATTCTCATGAGTTGAATGTGGTTCAATCTAGTTAAATCAAAACCTTGTGAAAACATGAACAGCAACTTCTTTTCTTACTGAGTAAGTTTGGGAATATGTCAAAAATAGGGTTTTAATGACAGTTTTTGTCTACCATGTCTGCACTCACCTTCCATGCACTCATTCACCGATTCATAATCAGCATATGTTCTGCCTTCTGGCCTCTTGGTAGGCTGGACAAGTAGAATTGTGTGAGACTGAAAAACAAAATAAACCAAACACAAAGAAAACAGGTTACTTGCAAAATCTGAATGACTTTTTGTTTGAATTAAGTTATTTACTTGAATGAAGCACTAAAAACAAGCATAATATTAAATCACTTAACCAACAATCAAGGACACAGACATTTTCCAAATAGTACTTACTGTTTATATAAGCCGTATTAATATTTTTTTGTTTCCAACCAGTCCTGCCAATGCTTATGTAAGTTTAAAATGTGTAAAATCACTAGTAAAGCAACTATTCTGTTGAAAAAAAAACCACAGAAATAGTAGTTTCTATTTGAACAGGAAAGCAAAGCGATAAAGTCAATGTATAAAAGTTATGCCATTAGTGCATTTACTTATTTTATTTCAAACAGACGCTATTAGCATGATTTCAAACACCCCAGTTAAGTTGGACTTCCTCCTTGCTCTTCAACTTCACTGTCAGTCTCACCTTAAAGATTTTACCACAAATAGGTATTTTGAGTTATTCATTAAACTCCAAGGGAACACAAATAAAACAACAAATCTGCACTTAGTGTTCAAGTTTATTTCCTACAAAATAGATGCACCGATTTTCCATACTTCTACTAAACAGTAATTATGGCACAGATAACTGTTCCAAATGTCAGAGTCTGTAAGCTTGTTCTTCTGCAGGAAAGACTTAGATGATTATACAGTCTGGGGCTTACATTATTTCTGTAATATTTTTCACTTGGCTACAGCAAGTAATTTGAGCAAACAAGAAGCAAGATTTTTGAACTGTACACAATCTACGATCTAATTAACAGGTTACATAGCATGGAAAGTTTGCAAGCATGCTAAGAAAACACCATTTCCACTGCTGCTAACTGGATCCAGCGTTTTCAATGCCAATATATGAGGTGAGCACACAACATGTAATATTCATTGAGGCAACTGCAGAGTAAGACACACTGGAAACAAATACCAAAGCATATTATTGGGCTTGAATTGATCAGTTGCTGGTAGAAAAATCCTGACCCACACTTCGGACATATCAGTGAAGATACCAGTTCAGTGTTCAAATGCAGTGACAAAAATAAAAATTGTAAATACTAGGATTTAAAATGAACATATAAGAAAACAGTACAAATTTTTATACTGTGACTGATAGTGTTCCTGTGCCTGGAATATAGTTTTCAGTTCTTTAAAATCTATCTCAAATAATGTGGTAGAAGGAGATTCAGAGAAGCCCAGAAAAAAGTTACAGCTAGAAACAGAAGCAGCAAGACTCTTCCCAATGAGAAATGGAAAAAGAGGGGAATTCAGAGTTATGCACTATAACAAAAATCATACAAAGGAGACTAGACCATTTAAGTCCACTTTCATGTATGCCAGAGAATGCCAGATTTGAAACTAAATCCTCAAGGGGGGCTGGTATCTGGCTGTTCCTAAGTGCATTGTGCTTGAACAGGCATGTCTTACCAGGGAGTCCAAGTGACTCTGCCAAACTGTGTAATAAAGTACTTTTTCCAGCACTATCATTTTTATTTGCTGCTCACTGATGACAAAGCTTGATTCCAGGACTTGCAACTTTGATTTCCTGGGAGTATTTGGCAAAGGATCCCTTGTTAACAGCAATGGATGAGGTGCATCAGCCAGTTCAGTCAGTGTGTTCTAAAAAAAGCTGTGTTACTTTAAGGTCAGAATGTCTTGCAAATTACATTTGTGATGTCTAATTACATACACATATTTGTCTCTTTCAGCTAAACCCAGTATTAAAAAAAATGGGTCTATTTGACAAAACCTGAGAGCGCATTCCTGAACTGACCAGGAGTTACAGAACTGTATCAGAATTCAGCGAATTCTGTATTCAGTCTCCCAGAATCTTGCTAGGGAATCTTTTTAGGCTCTTTGGCCTATTACAGCCAGGATATCCCTCCCATTCTTTGAGTGTTAAATTAATGTATATATTCTGAAATTATCCCAATAATTAGATTATAGAAAAAAATATCAGTGAGCCAGACATGTAAGCCAGTTCTTTTTGAACTTTAAGGTAGAAATTCTTTGGGCTTCTGACTTTAAACCATTTGTAACTTCAACGCTCTAAAACACCCATATCAGATACTGGCCTGTAATTTATTAAAATTAATGCTGTTGGGACCATCTGTATTGTAGAATTAACGCATTACATCTCAAATGTTTCTTTGGGAACTTCACATTATTTTACCTTAAGAGGAAAAAAAAAGGTATGATTTGATAAAATCTCCTTCCACAAAAGTGCAAAAAAGCAACAAGTTCAGAAGCCTGAGAAAAGTTTTCTCCAACTATTACCTGCTCTACTGAATATGTGCTTAGGTGACGGGACAAAAATCAGTGTGATTAGTAACTATTATGTTTTCCTATAGGTATAAATCTTATTATTAGGAAAAAAGAGAATAAAAACAAGGGAAGATACATAAACCTTCATGCATTAGGACCAGGTTATCTGGAAGAGCCCAATATTTTCTTATTATTCTGATACATATGTTGGGTTTTCTTTGAAAGCACAGTTGTACTGGCTGCTGTTAAGCAGGACACTGAATGACATTTCACATGGTTTATAATACACCAATTTTGAACTTCTAGAGAGAACTCTGTAATGCACTCCAATTACTGAAGACACAATCCTGTAAAAAAGGTAAAGGCAGCACTGACAGACAAACCAGCAGGACTTAGGAGCTAGGCACCATTTGCCCAAAGAGGCTTCTACCAATTGTAGAGTCTATTCAACAACACACACACACACAAAAAGGACAATAAACAAGTATGGTAAGAATAAGCTGAGCAGCGATGCAAACGCAGGTAGTATACCACACACACACAAACGTCTTTCAGTTACGCCTGCTAGGCAGAAAAAGTAGTTTAAGTGTCATCTTTCACCTTGGACAACAGGGACAGGGCTTATAGCTGCTCATCCTAGCAGAACCCAACTGCTTTTGAGCAAGCACCAGACAGGTGTAGAACTTTGCTGCAACCCCAGATGCAGTTGTCCTTCCACCGCAGGACAACAGCTTCCTTCGGTATATTCAAATTTATTAGATGAATTCAACAAACTATTGTGACTGGTAGGCCTTTGTGCTTTAGCGTGCCATTCAAGCAGCCCACCAGCGCAAGCTGCCGCCTTTCCCTCCTCCAAGTACTGAGGAGGAGCAGGGAAACCAGCACTGGCAGAAACAGCTTCAATTAACGCAAATCAGCCATTTGAGGTAGGCACACTCGACGGATCCGCCAAGCCAGCGCTCGCGAGAAAGAACTGCGCTTCCAGAATCGCCCTGAGAAGGGGCTGAAGGTCCCGGGAAAGTCCGCTCCACGCCAGGGCCTGAAGCCTCCCCCTCCTCTCTCCCTCCCCGAGATGAACGGCCTTTGTGCCAGGCAGGCTCCGGCGGCGGTGGGGCAGCACTTCCCGAGCATGCTGC